GTTTGTCCCAGTTTGTCCCAGTTTGTCCCGGTTATCCCCGGAACTGGCTCTGGCAGTTTCGTTCCATAATTAAAAAGTAATTAAAACCTCCCCAGAACTGGGCGGGGATTCCTCTTTATTCTCCTTTATTTATTTTCCTTTAAAATAACCCCAAAACCCAAGGAAAAAAAAAAAAATCCTACGTGGAAAAGCGGAGGAATTTGGGCGAAGAAAGAGGAAATTGGGGTGAAAAACGAGGAGCTTTGGGGTGAAATAGGCGGGATTTCTTCAGGGGAAAATAGGAATTTTGGGGAAACCAAAGGGATTTGTGGGGAGCGGGTGGGATTTGAGGGGAATTAGGCGGAAATGGGATGAAAAAGAAGGAATTGGGGGTGGAAACCGGAGGAATTTGGGTTAGGGTTGGGAATTTGAATTTAATTAGGTGGAAATCTGATCAAAAAGAAGGAATTTGGGGTGGAAACGGGAAATTTGGATTAGGGTTAGGAATTTGAGGCGAATTAGTGGAAATGTGATGAAAAAAAGAAGGAATTGAGGTGAGGGTTGGGAATTTGAGGAGAATTAGGTTGAAACGCGATTTAAAAAGAAGGAATTTGGATTAAGGGTTTGAGGTGAACTAGCTAGAAATGGGATGAAAAAGAAAGAATTGGGGTTAGGGCTTGGAATTTGAAATTAATTAGGAGGAAATGGGATGATTAAAAAAATTAATTTGGGGTTAGGGTTAGGAATTTGAGGTGAATTAGGTGGAAATGCAATAAAAAAGAAGGAATTTGGGGTTCCCGCTCATAAATCCGGGCGAAAAGGATTCTTTTCCTAATTTAACAAAATTAATTTCGCAATATTTAGCGCGGAAAAGCGGCCGAAGACAGCCCCGCCCATTAACCATAAATGGGCATGGGTCGTTAAAGCCACGCCCATTCTAGTGGGCCACGCCCTCGCCCCGCGCGAGGTAAACACAGCCGCGCCCCGCCCCCTCCCCGCCCACCCAATCCGCGCCCTCCGCCCGTTTCAAGGCTCCCCGTAGCCCCGCCCCCCTCCAGCCCCGGTTCCGCCGCGGCGGCGGCCCCGCCCCCCCGGGGGGAGCCTGGAAAGGAGGGGACTGGGGGCGCAGGGGGGGTTGGGGAGCATTCCCAGGGGGAGGGGATGTCGGGGTCCCCCCCTCCCCACAGAACACCCGGGCTGTGTTCGTGCACCTTTATTCAGCCTCGCCCCCAAACCCGCGCGAGGCTCTCGCTGCCCCAGGGGACCACAGAGGGGGGGTCCCGCGTGTCCCTCAGCCCGGGGGGGCCGAGCCCTCCTGGGGGGGCTCCTGGGGGGGCTCCTCCCCGCACTGGAAGCGCAGGAAATCCCACACCTGGAGCCCCCCCCGCTCGCGCAGGTAGCGCCCCAGGGGCACGCCCGGCTCCAGCAGCGTCCCCTGCGCCAGCAGCCGCGTCTCCGTGTCCCCCCCCAGCTCGTCCTCGGGGGTCCCCAAGGCCGTGGGGGCCATGCCCACCACGTGCTGAGCCACTCTGCGCCCCAGCTCCCGCAGCTCGGCCGGGGGGGGCCCCGCGCCCGGCCCCCCGCAGGCCACCAGCGCCCCGTAGGTGCCCATGGCCACGGCGGGCCCGGCGGGCACCCAGCCGTGGGCGTAGGTGGCCACGAAGCCACCGGGGGCACGCAGCCAGCCGGCCCGGCGCAGGGACAGCCGCTCGCCCAGGCGGCCTGGGGGGACACGGGGGGGGGGGGTCCCTGTCAGCACCCCCAAAATGGGGGCAGGGGTTAGGGGGTGATCACAGAGAGGAGGAGCCCGAAAAGGGTTCGGGAGCTGCTGTGCCCAGCACAGAGCCCGGGGACTGCCCGGGGTGTGCCCGGCCCAGAGCGGGGTGGCACGGCACTGGGGGCACTGGGGAGGGCACTGGGGAGGGCACTGGGACTGTCGCATTCTGGGGGCACTGGGAGCACTGGGGAGGGGCACTGGGAGCACTGGGACTGTCAGGCTCTGACGGCACTGGGAGCACTGGGGAGGGGCACTGGGACTGTCAGGCTCTGACGGCACTGGGAGCACTGGGGAGGGGCACTGGGAGCACTGGGACTGTCAGGCTCTGACGGCACTGGGAGCACTGGGGAGGGGCACTGGGAGCACTGGGACTGTCAGGCTCTGACGGCACTGGGAGCACTGGGGAGGGGCACTGGGAGCACTGGGACTGTCACATTCTGCGGGCCCTGGGGAGGAGCACTGGGAGTGTCAGGTTCAGGGGGACTGGGGGCACTGGGAGCACTGGGAGGGGCACTGGGACTGGCAGGTTCTGGGGGCACTGGGGGGGTTCTGGGAGCACTGGGATTGTCAGGTGTGGGTCCACTGGGGGGCACTGGGACTGTCAGGTTCAGGGGGACTGGGGGCACTGGGAGCACTGGGGAGGGGCACTGGGAGCACTGGGACTGTCACATTCTGCGGGCACTGGGAGCACTGGGGCTGTCAGGCTCAGGGGGCACTGGGGAGGGGCACTGGGAGCACTGGGAGTGTCAGGTTCAGGGGGACTGGGGGCACTGGAAGCACTGGGGAGGAGCACTGGGGGTCACTGGGGACTGGCACTGGGAGTACTGGGATTGTCAGGTACTGAGGGCACTGGGGGGCACTGGGAGCACTGGGGAGGGGCACTGGGGGCAGTGGGAGCACTGGGACTGTCAGGTTCTGGGGTCACTGGGGAGGGGCACTGGGGGCATTGGGACTGTCAGGTTCAGGGGGACTGGGGGCACTGGGAGCACTGGGGAGGGGCACTGGGGCTGTCAGGCTCTGAGGGCACTGGGATGGCAGGCTCTGGGAGCACTGGGAGGGCCACTGGGGGCTGGCACTGGGAGTACTGGGATTGTCAGGCTCTGGGGACACTGGGGAGGGGCACTGGGGGCACTGGGGCTGTCAGGTTCAGGGGGCACTGGGGGCACTGGGGGGGTTATTTGGCATCACTGGGGATGGGGTTCAGGAGACTTGAGAAATAAAAGGACAAGGAGACAAACTGGGGTTGCATAGAAAGGGCACTGGGCAGACTGGGAGTGGTGAGACAGACACTGGGCACACTGGGATGGGCACAGGAGGGGCACTGGGCACACTGGGATGGGCACTGGCATACTGGGATGTACTGGGAGGGGCCCTGGGATGTACTGGGATGGGCACAGGGCACACTGGGAGGGGCACTGGGATGTACTGGGAGGGGCCCTGGGCACACTGGGAGGGGCACGGGGGCACTCACCCATGGCCAGTGCCAGGTGGTCGCTCAGCAGCTCCCCCCCGTCCCCTGCCCGCACCTGGGCCAGCTCATCCTCTCGCAGCAGGAGCTGGGGGACAGGGGTCAGGGGGGCACCCCAACAGCCTGGCACCCCAAAACCCTGCCCAACAGCCCTGGTACCCACAAACCCTGCCCAACAACCCTGGTACCCACAAACCCTGCCCCAACAGCCCTGGCACCCCAAAACCCTGCCCTATACTCCTGGCAACCCCAAACCCCACCCCAACACCCCCAAACGCTGCCCCAACAGCCCTGGCACCCCCAAACGCTGCCCCAACACTCCTGGCATTCTCAAACTCTGCCCAAACACCCCCTGGCACCCCCCAAACCTCCCCTAATATCCCCAAACCCTGCCCACACCCTGGCACCCCCAAACCCTGGCACCCCAAACCCTGCCCTACACCCCCAAATGCCCCAGCACCCCCCAACACCCTCTGTGCCACCCCAGCACCCCCAAAGCCCCCCTGGCAGCCCACCTTGGTGCCCGAGGCCCCCTGGCAGTGCCCCAGGACCCCTCTGGCCGCCATCTCCACCAGCTGCTGGAAGTCGGGGGTCCGCGCCACGAAATCCGTCTCGCAGTTCACCTGGGGGGGGGGGACACGGTGACCCTGGGGACACAGAGACCCCCCGGGGGGCACGGCGGGGACCCCCAACCCCCCCTGACTCACCTCCACCATGACGGCGGCCGAGCCCTCGCTCAGGACCCCCACGAGCCCCTCCCGGGCCCGGGCAGCCCCGGGGGCCGCGGCTCGCGCCCAGCCCCGGCGGCGCGACTCGGCCTCCAGCCAGGCCTCGGCCTGGGGACACGGGGGACAGGGTCACCGCAGGGCCACCGCAGGGCTGGCAGGGCCACCGCAGGGCTGACAGGGCCATCTCAGCACTGGCAGGGCCACCGCAGGGCTGACAGGGTCACCCCAATGTCCCTAACACTGACAGGGCCATCCCAGTCCTTACAGGGTCACCCCAGTGCTGCCAGGGTCACCCCGCAGGGCTGACAGGGTCACCCCAGTGCTGACAGGGTCACCTCAGTGTCCCCATCACTGACAGCGTCACCCCGCACTGACAGGGTCACCTCAGTGCTGACATGGTCACCTCAGTGTCCCTAACACTGACAGGGCCATCCCAGTCCTTACAAGGTCACCCCAGTACTGACAGGGTCACCCCAATGTCCCCAACACTGCCAGGGTCACCCCAGTGCTGACAGGGTCACCTCAGTGCTGACATATCCCAGTCCTTACAAGGTCACCCCAGTACTGACAGGGTCACCCCAATGTCCCCAACACTGCCAGGGTCACCCCAGTGCTGACAAGGTCACCTCAGTGTCCCTAACACTGACAGGGCCATCCCAGTCTTTACAGGCTCACCCCAGTGCTGACAGGGTCACCCCAATGTCCCCATCACTGCCAGGGTCACCCCAGTACTGCCAGGGTCACCCCAATGTCCCCATCACTGCCAGGGTCACCCCAGTGCTGACAAGGTCACCTCAGTGTCCCTAACACTGCCAGGGCCATCCCAGTCCTTACAGGCTCACCCCACTACTGACAGGGTCACCCCAATGTCCCCATCACTGACAGGGTCACCCCGGCACTGACAGGGTCACCCCAGTGCCCCCATGACTGCCCCTCAGCCTGGGGACATGGGGACAGGGTCACCACAGGGCCACCCTGCACTGACAGGGCCACCTCAGTGTCACCCCAGTACTGACAGGGTCACTCCAGTGCTGCCAGGGTCACCTCAGTGTCCCCATGACTGCTCCCTGGCTTGGGGGGACACAGGAGAGGGGACAGGGTCACCCCAGTCCTGAGAGGGTCACCCCAATGTCCCCAGCACTGCCAGGGTCACCCCAGTGCTGACAGGGCCATCCCAGTGTCCCCTGTCATTGATGGAGTCACCCCAATGTCCCCATCACTGCCCCTCGGCTTGGGGGGACACACAGGAGGGGACAGGGTCACCCAGTGTCCCCATCACTGCCAGGGTCACCCCAGTGTCCCCATGACTGCTCCTCGGCCTGGGGGGGGACACAGTGGGGGGGCACAGACCAGACCCGACCCCACCCGCCCCCCAGGGGCTGAGCCTGCTCTGGTCGTGGTGCCCCAAAGACCCCCTGCCCCAGGGACCACCTGCGACCCTCAGTCCCCTTTCCCCAAGGACCCCCTGTCCCAAAGACCCCCTGTCCCAAAGACCCCCATGTCACAAAGACCCTCTTCCCCAAAGACCCCCTGCCCCAGAGTCCCCCTGCCCCAGGGACCCCCCATCCCAAACACCCGGGGGTCCCGGTGCAGGGGGTCCCGGGGCTGGGGGTCCCGGTGCAGGGGGTCCCGGGGGTCCCGGTGCAGGGGTTCCCGGGGGTCCCGGTGCAGGGGTCCCGGTGCAGGGGGTCCCGGGGGTCCCGGTCTCACCCGCGCCGCCCCCCCGAGCGCGCCCAGCGCCGCGCGCTGCATCCCGGCCTGCCCGCGGCGCGCCGCCTGACGTCACGCCACACCGGGCCGTGAACGACCCCGCGCTACGGGCGCCGGGAAGGGTCAGAACGCGCAACAGCGATTGGCTGCCGCCTGTTCGTGACGTCATGCGGGCGGCACGGAGGCGCGGGATTGGCTGAGGGGGATTTTGGGAGGGGGGAGCTCCAAGTGCCCGGCCCGAGAGACCCCCGGCCCTCAGAGACCCCCGAGCCTCAGAGACCCCCGATCCTCACAGACCCCCGGCCCTCAGAGACCCCCGGCCCGAGAGACCCCCGGCCCCCAGA